ATAGGCGTAGCCAGGAGGGGGGGGGGTGCGATATCAATAGGCTTTATATATGCTTTAATGTTTTATTTATCATGATGCTTTTATGTAGGCTATTAATTACAGTTCTTTTTGCAATATAAAACTGGTATGCTTATGCAAATTCCGATTGGACTAATATAAAGGGATATTGTTTCATTATGTGGACTTGAGAAAGTCCGACATACTCATTGCTTTCAACCCAAAACTTAAAATAGGAAGTTATCAAGATCCCAAGAACACGATCGCTACTTAAACAATACGTTTGTAAAATCCCGGCGATCGAAATGCAATCAAACTTTCGCAATCAGGTGCCTAATTAGTCTTTTGATCTCTAAAGTTTTACGACTGAACGTTTCAATGAACTCGTGAGAAGCAAACGCAATCATCACATAAACATTTTTCTAGTAAATCTAAAATAGAGTAAAACCCAGGGAAAAAGATCGCGTGTTCATAGGAATTAGGCATATTTCAATTTTGAAATAACAAAAGTCAGTCTCGGAAGAATTTTCCAAGCATTCCCTGCTTCGATGCGTTTTTATTGCAAGGGCCGTTTAGCGCCGATATGAATTCATTATAGGGCATTAGGGTTGTGCTTTATTTGTTTTATTTATATAAATGTTATAAAATGTGTACGACACTTTAATGAATTATTTTTAGGGTTACAATGCATATTTGACTTTTCCCTCTAAACGTTTAAAATTCATCTTTATACTTTTCTTAGTTTGCTTCAATAAAATTAACATTGGATCCCAGACAGTTATCAAATTCTCAGACATTTGATTAATATAGATATTTGTACTTCCTTTGACCAGTGGTGCTGGTGTGACTGAGATTCGAATCTAATCTGTTTCATTTTGATGTAAATTGAGAGGAATAAAGTTTTATTTTAAGCGTTTTAACAATCTTAACGTTTGGCGTGCAGCTCAACTAAATACACAATCAAAGGTCAAATACAGAAATAAGAACATGCCTTTTATTTGTTATTCAAGCTCGAGCAATATCCCCGTTATAAAACCAAAATAACTGCGGTTAGGTACCATATCTTGATTACAGTAAAGACAGGCCATCTCATTCTGGTATGCCAGAGCCACTCTTATCTGCCGATTGTGGAAGGATAAAGACAAAGGGGTCGCGGCTATCACGATGAGGCCGTCTTATTTCTAGGAATTATTTCTGCCTCTCATTCCTTAAACCGGCTTCGTTAAACAGTGCCAAAATATATAAGTCGGAGCCAAAAACAATACTATTTCTATATTTAAATCCCCTCACCTTGTCAATGTCTATGCCTGCATCTGGTTTTCCCACCTTTGGGAGGGAGCCAATATACACATAGATTACTTACTGGCCATGGACAGGGGGGGGGGCACAGAAACAAACATTCTGGGGTCATAAGGGATACTTGGGGAAGGGGAGGGGTGGTGGTGAATAGTGAAGTCCGGGAGTGAAGTTAAGGGGTACTGAAATATTTCTTTTGATATTTAGTGCTTGCATGGAGACTTGTTTCCACTCCCCGCATTCTAGTAGAATTTAAATATTTTATCCAAAGGAGTTATTTTAAATCAAACGTGCATTCCGAGTAATTAACACTCCAATGATTGTACCGCTTCACTATTGTCTAAGATAATTATAATGAATTCACGGGAGACTATAGTCTTCCTTTTAAACTTTAGTGGTTGGATGGAGACTTGTTTCCCCACCCCGTACACTAGTAAATTTGTAAATTTCAAATATTTGATTTAGGGAGGTATTTGCAATCCAACTCTGATGATGCAAGACTAATCAGCCAAGACTAAATTATGAACTTATTATCATTTAGACTATTGAGTTCATTAAATTATAATTCCATAGATATCATATTTAATCCTGTCAACACAATAATGGTATTAATTGGCATGATATGTAGTCAGAGACGGTTTAAAAAGTTGTTTAGATTAATGATAGTATTAGGAAAAATCCTAACTCAAAGTTTTTGTTCTCTCGCAATACAGAGCAAACCACTCGCCGGGCAAGCATTCTTTAAAAACGTGAAGTTTTCACCATGTTGAGCAGTTTTGAAAATTGTCCAATTTGAACCATCGCCTTGTATATTTCTGTAACTGCCCCCCCCCCCTTGACACTCGAGTGTACGAATCCTTTCCACACTGTCAATGGTTTTACAAAATAGTTCATGTCAGGAAGGGGGAGGGGTGAGTGTGGAGAACAATCACTGACTGCGATTTGTATGATTGAACATTATACACTTATCATCAATTCGTAAAGAATAGTTTTAAAATAAACACCTTGTTTTATGTTATGATTGGAGTGATGTATGCATAGAAGAATGACACTGGTTTTGAAATATCTTAATTATCCCATTGAATGAAGCCATCCGTCCCTCTGTCCATTCTTAACTCATACTAGTGGACTGATTTGATTTAAAGGAGAAGTCTCGGTGTAGAACGTGTACACACTAATGGGAACGAATTTCACTCATTTCTATTTAGGATTCGTTCATATACTAGCGGGGCTTTAGAGCATTTACAAACGCACGAATTGTATTGTTTTAAGGCAACTTTTATGACATATAATCATTGTTTTTAAAGCTGATTAATTTTAGATTATATTCGGTTCAATTTTACAAATAATGAATAGTATTACAGTATATCGAAAAATGTACAATGATTTACATTAAATTGCGCAGACTGCAAACAATGTACATGGTTGGCGAATTTGCATGCGCGTTCTTGATAATAAGAATTAAAGGTTGAACTTAAAAATCAAACATTTTCTTTTTTAAACATAATAAATCTTTAAATCAAGAAAATAAAAATAAGATTGATGATTGAACTTTTCATAGTCAACTGCGACTGTGTCGACGCATGTTTATTTACTTAGCTAATTAGATATGTAAAATTGTTAATGGCCGCAACGGATAATACGTACATGTAAGCTGTTCGGATAAGACATTTCTATATGATTAATAACAAATCCCGGGCAGAATATTATTCAACAGTACCTGATCTTATCAGTTATTATTCAATTTGGATAATAAATCTATTATCTCGTCGTATTGATGTTTATTATATAGTGTTTCTCGTTGTGATAGATAAAGTCTTTTATGATCTTTCGAACGAGGTAAGTCTCTAGTTCGAAAGACAATCGTATCAACTTGAACAAAAGTTGAGTTTTGACGAAAAATTTCAACATGCGCAGAAGTCCCATTTTCGTTGTACCATATTGACTGTGTTTACTTTTTTCTGAACATAGACTGGTCCGAGAGACTGGTAAGCTGCTACTGCCATCTTTTTGTCTAACTAATTTCCATATGTGCGTATTCCATACAATAAAATCACTCTACTATACCTAACCCCTAGAAATGCATAAGATACTCTGTTTGTCAAATTGTATTGATTATTATATTTTTGAAAGTACCTTATTAACATCTAATGTCATCCGATAAACCTTTAAAAAGGAACAGACAAATAAAAACAAATAACATAATCATTACTAATAAGCCAAAAGGGTTGCTCATGAACACCAAGTGCAAGGTATAGTAGAGTGAAAATGGTTTCAAGTTGTGGCGGACTCTCGGACAACAAACTCCCTATCTAGCTCAGGGACTAGAGGTCCTATAATTCAAAGGCATCAGCATATGAAATTTGAATTAAATCCGTCACCTGGTATTTGAATTATCAAAGAGAGCATTTTAACGGCTTTGTTGACTGGTATTTTGGTTACAATTTATAACATTTTTACCAAAGTACTCTGGAGGCCGTTTCTCGAAAGTTTCGAACGAATCTGATTCAATTGTTAATAACGAAAGTTAACGATTCGCAATGACGTCATGATTTTGAACGATTTATTCGTTACCTAGTACGGATACATTCAAGTACGGATGGGGGTACAGTGCACCCCCCGGGGGGTCTCGTTATTCCATAAACGACAATAACGATGTCCTTAGAAACGGATCCACAATTCGCTATTAACGATTCGTTGATAACGATAAGTTACGGCCTCCTGATTAGGATTTTAACTTTAACGTAGGTATATATCTAAGTAAGTGTAATTACTACCATATGAATGTCATTAGAAATTTACATCGTTCAAATGAAAATTGCTTAGTAATTTTGTTGTGTAGCATCATATGTACATTGTCTAACACTATGCGAAGGCAACATGCGTGATAAATTCGCAGATGTATGGATACGTAGAATCGTAGATATATACGGGGTGGACCAATGAAAATTGGAACATTCTTCTGTCTATTCAATTGTCTTTAGTTTTGCAGTTCAATCCACAAAATTCAGATGATGGTGAAATGATTATATGTGAAGATGTTAAATATAAAAACATGAATGTATGATTATTTTTGGCTTGCCATGGTAATGATCTGTATCCTGCGTGTGTCATGAAAAATTTCCAAATTTTCTCTGCTTGAGACATCACTGCTGAAAATACATACCTTTCATACCACACAATATGCAACCTTCAAATGGTCTCAACACAATTTCCATCAATTTAAACATATGTAGTTATCTCTAGGAGAAGCAAGACATGTCCTCCGCCCACCTGAAGAATCAGTCTGAGCTGTATTTGACAGTCATGCATGGTTTAAATGATAGGTTTGAGACATATTGTGCAAGTTTTGAAAAAGAAGCTGAGGTCAGTTAAGCTATATTATCCAAGTGAGACCTGTCTTGTCTTGCATCTTTTAGAGATAACTACATAATGTTTTAATTGATGGAAATTGTGTTGAGACCATTTGAAGGGCATATATTGTACAGTATGAGATACTGAATTTTCATGAATGATGTCTCAAACAGAGAAAACGTGGACATTTTTTATGACACACACAGTATACAGATCATGACCATGACAAGCCAAAAATAATCATATCTTTAACATTTTCACAAATAATCATTTTACCATCATCTGAATTTTTATAGACTGAACTGCAATATTAAAGAAAATGTAATAAACATAAAAATGTTCCAATTTTTATTGGCTCACCATGTACATGTACGTAGACGTATAGTTCACACATTTGTATAAATTGTTAGTTTAATGTACTTCGTTCTAAATATTCATTCGTTTCACTTTACTGTTGAACAACTGTACCACAAAGTTATAAATCTCATAATCCGAAGCTACAGCGTCAACTATAGTGTCAATGGTTTCTTTTGGCAGCTCGTCCCTACCTTTCCTTAGACTTCCAATGTTATTCCTTTTTGTGTTCTCCTTAATGTAGTCCTGAATTCCACCAAAATATTGTGGAATAAGTTTTGAGAAGACTGTCAGTGATTCATTAAGCTGTTCCAATATACCCACACAAACGTATTCCTTTTCAATGATATGCTTTGCTCTGTTGATGAACTTCACATCTTTCGGATCAATGCGTGGAGTGAAATGGTTGAACCATGCAACATATGTAGGTATGACGCATCTTTGTTTTTCGCCCTCCCGCGCTAAACACTGCGACAGAGTTTCATTTATAACGCTTCTACTTAGGTGGCGTCTGGTTGCCTCGGACGGTTGCCGAACAAAGTAAAACAACGATATTGCCCTCTCAACTGGATCCCGTAACATATCGATGAGGAGCGGTTGTCTGAATCCACGCTTTGTGAAATTAAAGTATCCCAAATGACGTACGAACGCGAGTTTCTTAACCGTGTTATCCGTCTCATTTTGGAAGGTCCTCAGGAAGGTCTCTTCTGTTTTTGAATGCTCACTTATTTCATGGGCAATCTTTACATATTTATAATGATAGACCTGGAAATCGTTTCTGTTTTGGAGCATTTTCAAGTAATCTAGTATGGTTGTCGAGCCACATTTCGGCATTCGAGTGTAAAACAACGTGTTTGGTGTTGTCTCTGGGTGAGGACTAAACCTATCGTTGTTGGTGGTCCAATTTGAGTTAAAATCCCGGGTTGTTTTCTTGTTTATTTTTGGAGGTCGGATATTGTTTTCAGTTCGAAACCCATTTCGACGAAAGTCCTCGATTTTGAAAGTCAACAGTCCGATCGAAATAAAAAGCAGTAATACAAGCGTAATAAGTTGCTTTCTATTTCCACATTTACCTACCATATTAACAAAATTTAACTTAATTGATTAGTCCAGTACTAGTTTGAATCTATGGCTTTTTCTTTCTTTGTGTTTCCTGACTCAGATGTTAATATCATTTTGACGTATAAAGTCGTAAATGTTGAACATCAAAAGTTGAATCGAAGCGTTTAGTTATTTTCTACTTTATTTCACCAAGTTAATAATCCAGCGCAAGTTTGATCCCTTTGCTGTGTTCACTTCCAATATGTACATTTACACCCCCATCCAAAAGTTTGGCAACCTTAGCTCCATTATTGAACTTTACGTTTCAATTTTTATTTACTTAAACTGCCAGGAAAATACTTATAATATTGATGAATATGTAATTGACTACATTTCCAATGTCTCAAAATTTTCTCAATTTTTTCCTCAATTACAATAGGTCGAAAATTTATGATAAATCTGATTTTTGAAAGTCGGCATTCCCATGTAAACCAGTGGGAAATGTTAGGTAGGAGCTAAGGTTGCCAACCCTATGGAAGAGAGTGTACCTCTCCTAAAACATACACTACTTCATAACGACGCTTTTTATGCAAACAATTAGGTCGCATCAAGTCTATTAAATTGCCTCATGTTATGTTATAGTCGGTTAGTTTACTTTGTGTGTTGCTTTATACCCCTTAAAGGTACGTTCACACCAACGGCGCTTTGATGGCGCTTTAAAGCGGCTTGTAAAGCGGCACCAAAGCGTAACAAAGCTTAATTAAAGCGTCGGGGTCGTAATAGGTCGTAGAAAAGCTCGGGAGTAAAGCGGGATATTCGGCAAGAGCGCTAAAAAATTTAAACTGTTTAAGCGTTCGCACCAACGGCGCTTTGATGGCGCTTTAAAGCGGCTTGTAAAGCGGCACCAAAGCGTAACAAAGCTTGATTACAGCGTCGGGATCGTAATAGGTCGTAGAAAGGTTCGGAGTAAAGCGGGATATTCGGCAAGAGCGCCAAAAAATGTTAAACTGTTTAAAAATTTTGGGCGCTCTGTTACGAATTGATTGAAGCGCCGAGAGCGTATCAAAGCTTAACAAACCGTTACAAAGCTCAACAAAGCTTGACTCAAAGCGTAGGAAAGCTTAACACAGCTTGGTTCAAAGCGGGGACCCCAGTCTATTCACGGTCTGTTACCACTTGACACGCTTCGTTAAGATGTCTCAAGATTTGCTACGATCTGGCATGAAGATCTGACACGAGGTCAGACGCTTTCATCAATATCTGACACTCTTTGTTACACTTTCCTGAGGGTCTCTCAAGCTTTCCAACGAATTGAGACGCTTTAATCAAGGATTGAAACGCTTTGCTGTACGCTTGACAAGTTTTCACACGCTATATCACGCCGTGCGACAAACGTCATGTCTTCTTCAGATAGGTCATGCTCTGGTCCATCTGGAATTTCTGGATCTCGTTGTTCTGCCATCGTGTTCTCGAGTCAAAGATGCAATGGTTTTATGGATCTACTGCATCTTTATATAGTCATTGGATCAAAAGCGGCATGGAATCGGCGATCTCGACATTTTCCAATGCGTGACAGAGCTTAACAGAGCGTCACAATGCACAACAGAGTTTTGCAATCGTATCAGAGCTTGATTTAAAGCGTCATAATCGCATCAAAGCGTAATAATGCTTATCAAAGCTTTTCAAAGCGTGATTTCAAGCGTAACAAAGCCTGATCAAAGCGGGATCAAAGCGTGAGGAACCTTTTAGAGATATGTTAAGCTTTCCTACGCTTTGGATCAAGCTTTTCTGAGCTTTGTTACGGTTTGTTAAGCTTTGATACGCTCTCGGCGCTTAATCGATTCGTAACAGAGCGCCCAAAATTTTTTAAGAGTTTAAAATTTTTTGGCGCTCTTGCCGAATATCCCGCTTTACTCTGAGCTTTTCTACGACCTATTACGACCCCGACGCTTTAATCAACTTGTTACGCTTTGGTGCCGCTTTACAAGCCGCTTTAAAGCGCCATCAAAGCGCTGTTGGTTTGAAGAAAAATGACAAAAATGACGGCGCTTTGCTCGCCGATTTAAAGCGTGGCATTCGCCGTTGGTGTGAACGTACCTTTAATAAACATGTGATTAGATTTTATTAAAACAGCATAACAAAAAAATGTATACGCTCTGTAAAGAGAACAGGTACAGGGTCCTTTATCAGTCATAACATTTTCAATTTCTCGTTTAATATTACTAAAGTCTTGGAGGCATATGGTGTACATTTTTCAAAAATTAGATGGCTTATAATGGAACTTTGGTCTATGTTTCACTTGAAAGTTGACAGAAAGATTAGTCAAGTAGACCTTAAATTAGAGAGCTGTTAAAGAAGACTTTATTCCTGAAAAAATACATTATAGATTTTGCAAATTCCTTTTAGGGGTTAATAAATATACTTCAAGTTATGCGGTAAATAACGATTTAGGAAGATTCCTTTAGCTATAGATTCACTTTATATAGATTCCATAAAACATTGGTTGAAGTGTGTGCATCAAACAAACGCAGGTAGTTTAATAAATATATCATTTCGGGATAAGAATAACATATTTGTCAAACATATGGAATGCATATTAAAGTATTTTAGTTTTGAACATGTTTTTGAAAACAAAAGTACGTTTGGAATAAAAAACTTCTCAAAGCAATTAAACTTAAATTGCAAAGAAAATACATAGAATATAATGGTAGAGCCATAAGCGAAAATAGAAAACTCGGAAATTATATGAAAACTGATTACAAACTTGAAAGATATTGAACTTTAAGTGTGAACAAAATGTTAATTTTTAAAATGGCCAGATCTAGATTAGCAAACCATAATTAGAAAATTGAAACAGGGAGCATTTTACACCTCTTATTTTCAAAATTATGTAACTTTTGACACATAAAAGTTAAAATGCTATCCGTTAATTTTAAACGAACACCAATGTTCTTCGTGACCAATGTCCATTATTACTTAAACTCTTTTATGATCAATGTCATTGGTGTCACTTATTGGAAAACGGATCTAAAGTTCCTAAACATGAAGGCCGAGACTTTATTTTGTATATCATTTTATAATAGAGGAGTGTTCATTCATACTGACCTTATATTTAGTTACTGAATTGAAGAATAATTATAGCAAATATTTTCGAAGAATGAAATATTTATTTAATCATGGCGTACAAAAAAGTCTTTATAGCTACGTGAATACTCTTTGACGATAGAAGTGGCAGTTGATAATAAGTTTTGTAAAAAATGAAACATAGGCTGAAATTCCAAACTGGCCAAATTGAAATAACACGATATCTATTGTACTCCGTAGCATCTAAAATTAAACCTCTTTCAAATTGGAATGCCTTACAACAAAAGACCCCTACTATAGTGCTGAAAATACCCATTTGTTATTTCTTTGAAATGAAAATATAAAGTTCAAAATTCAAATTCAAGTCCAAGTACAGGTGACCCCAAAAACGTCACCCCTTAATTTGGGAATAACTATATCTCCGTTTTGAAGGACTTTTCATGATTTTTTGTGTAGATAGAGAGTTAAATGCATAAATCATTGGAATTTACCTAATAAGCAGTCAGTGCATCATATTTGACGAGATTGTTGCATTTTTTGTTTAAGGGGTAGATTTTACATTCTATTGATAATGTGTATGAAAGCAATCTAGAAATGGCTCAAATAATGGTTAAGACAGAAATCTCAATTTCAGAGAATTGCATTTTCAACATTTTCAACATTGAGGTCACTAGACCTCAACTGGATGGAAAATGTGATCATTTTAAAACTTGGAATTTAAACAGTCTATATTCGAAGATAAATGAGAGGGTAATTTTTCTGGGTCAACCTGTATATGGAGGTGTACACGTGAATTAGGGAGCACGCGCGTTACAAATGTCCATTGAAATTCAGCAAAAGTAGAACTATTTTGAGAAATCTTGGCTTTGACCTAAGTTTAGCAGTCACATCACAAAAGAAATCGAAGTGATGGATAATAAATGCTATACCCATTCAAATGCTTGTGTTTATAAATGATAAATACATGTGTGCTTTTCATACTAACTCATTTCAAAAAGTTTCTATTATTTGATATTTGCTCTTGGGGACTAATCAGCTCCGGGCAAGATTTTTTTGTTTGAAATGAAACAAAACGAAGGCGCACAGATTTGAAAGAAAATGTGTTTTCAACAGTAGAAAGACAATAAGTAGTTGTTTTTATGTTAAAATAAAAATAACAAATTTTATGTTAAATTGATTGAACTTTAGTTATAATTATGGGAAAATTTTTCAGTTGCTTGAAAAAGATTTAAAGAGTAAATCGAAATACTGCAAAACTAAATTAATGTGTTAGTGTTAAGACATTCGGTTTATTTCACCGAATATGAAGCAGCTTTTAAGTTGTGCGAAATTATTGTTATTTCTTTGCATAATGTCATGATGATCCGGGGTCTTCCCAAAATTAGACAATCCCAACCCGTGCCTTAGGTTGCCAAACTTTTGAAGAGAATTGTACAAATTTATTATGTTTTTATTTGCTGGTCATATAAATTGAATTTAATGTTTCTGGTTTTCCACAAATATATTTTTGGGAAACCCTGACCGGGGGTTCGTCCGAACCCACCGAACCCCCGGTCCCTACGGGTATGCCGAGGACAGTTAGACTTGTGCTTTTTCTGCCATCTCCACATGATTACCATACTATAAATTGTCTTCAACACCTACAGAAATACCATAATTGCTGAAGTCTCTGAACAACCATACTTCATATGCTCACGTGGGTCCAAATATACTACGACCGTTAATTTGAACTTGAATTAGGCCTACGGTACCAGACTATTGGAAATCAAAGATTGCGAGTCTTATACTGCGCCATTTTTCCCTCCTTCTAGGGACCCAAAACTGCCAAAAGGAAGGGTTCTGTATAACAGAATAATGTGCCAACAGAAATGCATTTCTGTTTTGCTTTGTATGGAACAGGTTTGAAGGAAAACGGTGAGTTTCAAACATATGGTACATGCACCTCAAGGCCGTCCCGTTTTTACTGAATTTTTTTTTAGAGATTTTTGAATTTCATGGTGAAAATATGGCTCTGGTCTCATATATGCTCAAAATGCACCAGAGAAGACCTTCCAAATTGTTTTGGGGCATTCCCCATACCCCCTAACTTGCGGCGATTCGCGCCAGCTACGATTTGCGTGAGCCAAGTCCATTCGTACGCGAAAGTCGCCCCCCACCCTTAGGAACTCCTTCAGACTTGCGTGCATCTCAAGAACAATTCTGATTGGTTCATTAAAAGTCGATCAACAATACTTTCAAGGTTTACAGCATCGTTGTACAATCTTGCCAGTTGACTTCAATAGAGGTCTCCAATTGTATATACATGTACCTGGTAGTTGGTCAAAACATTAAACAGGTAATGCGCTTATTTTAGAAGGAAAAAAAGACAAAATAATATTTTAGACATGTCACTCACACAGTCAATCAAATATGATAAAAACTTTAATTTGGGTCAATACTGAAGTGAAAAAAATTACTTGCATAGAAAAACAGCATTTCACAAAGTCTATGTTTTAAATAACTCTTGGACTAAAAGATGGCGTATGGTTGAAAATCCTATCAAAAATGAATGGACAATTAATGCAAACAACAATGTCATCTTTCTATGGCATTGCTAAAAACTTGGCATATATAAATTGATAGATCAAAAATATTTTTTCATGATCTAGTGTCAACTCTGATGTGGTCAGTCTGAGCTGTTTTTGGTGTCAATGAAAGATCAGGTACTTATTAATCCATTGGAAATACTATGAAGATCAAAAGTGAGACTTCATTTATGCACTTTGTCCCTCTAATTAAACCATCTAAAAATAACAACACTTCTTATACTTTAATTGCACAATATATTATTACTGGTTTTGCTCATAGATATATTCCCATGGGCACTGGATTAACACAAAGATGACAGAAATGGCTGTTTAGGTTTTAACTTAAGATATAAATAGACTGACAAGCAACTTCTGCCATCTTTCTTTCAAGTACCCATATACATATTCCATTCAATAAAATATTCAATTCATTCTATAACAATACAAAAGTTAACAATACAAATAGACAATATACTATACTAGTATACAATACATCAATACAGTAAATAATTTACACTTATATGGAATAGAGTAGAACCTGTGTCGTGTGTCCATGATGCATAGAAGTGTTCACTTTGAGAGGTGTTCATATAAACAATTCACATGGAGAGGTTTTCAGATGGTAGAGGTGATCACTCTTAAGAAATGTTCACTTCCTGGTGTTCACTTTTAAAAGTTTTCATTTGATATGTGTCATTCACTTCCTTTTGAAGTGTTTACTTTGAGAGGTGTTCATTGAGAAATATGTTCATATTGAATGGCCTAATAGAGGATTCATTGAGAAAGATGTTCATATTGAATGGACTTAAGAGAGGAGTTCATTGAGATGTTCATACTGAATGACCTAAAAGGGTTCATTGAGAAAGATGATCATATTGAATGACTTAAGAGAGGTTATTATTGAGAAAAATGTTCATATTGAATGACCTAAGAGAAGGTTCATTGAGAAAGATGCTCATATTGAATGACCTAATTGAGAGGTGTTCATTGAGAAAGATGTTCATATTGAATGACCTAAGAGAGGGTTCACCGAGAAATATGTTCATATTGAATGAGAGGTTTTCACTTGAGACTATCACCCAAGCATGCTTTATCATAAATAGAACAGATAACAACTTTTAAACATTAACTACAATAACTATTGATGAGTTTTCAGCCTAAATAACAAACAGGCATAAATTCATCTTCCGATCACAAGACTCGAAGATCCAGAATATGTTCCATAATGTTTAAGGAGGTACGAGTTCTGGGCACCTGCTTTGGAGGATAATTCACTACTGTCGCTATCCACTGAATAATTTTCCAAGTTTTTTCTTGTCCTCTTCATCCTTAACCTTTTGTTTCTCATCAAGTTCATTCAGTTCTTTCTGAACTGTTTTTGTTAAAGTTTGATCAAGTTCGAGAACTCGCTGAAAGTCTTCACGGGCTTCCTTCGGATTCCATGCACCAACATGGGCCTTTGCTCTTCTGTATAATGCTTTCACGTTATCTGGAATATAAAAATATTTAACAAGGCATTAACATGCAAAATAAACCAGCCATTTGTTACAGACACTGACCACCAAACCCCAACTGCCAAACACCATCCATAAAAAGTTTGAGACCAGAACAATATGTCACCACTTTAGGAAGCTCATGATTTGCAAATGATCAGTAAATTCAGTGAACTAAAGACCTCTCATGTCGAGTTTTTGGGGGATTTTTTGATTACGATCAAATGAATTGTCCACATAATGCACCATTCAAAAGTTTGTACAAGAACCCGAACGCAGGGAGGGTAAGGAATTTGATACGCAACATTGCCCCCAGGGTAAGGCATTTTATGGAGAAAGGAGGAGGGATAGTATCGCAACAGCTTTCAGAGTCATATCTTGGATTTTGGCTATTTTCTGAGGATTTAAACAGGTGCATATGTTAGACGAATGCATTACCTCGAGGAAAAGCACTCCTAAAGATGATAAAATAATTTTGACTTTGAGACGGGGAAGATGCAATCAACCCACCCACATGTTTTTTCTGAAATGTTTTCCTGATTTTCAAGGGTAATTTTAAGGGTGACCAAAATTAGCTGAAAGCATTGGATCGCATGAGTTTTCCCTATCGGAAAATAACATGGGAATAACATATTGTTTTCCACTTTATAAAGGAATGTAAAAAATAATACGTTATTCCATAAATTACAATTTAGCACACTTTCGATTCTAGTTTGATGTGGATTTGTATCCATAAAACTCAACAATAGCCTACACCTGCCCATTCCATAAAAATGATTGTCCATACAGCTATATTCTCCACTTTTGCTGAACAGATACAAACCAATTGTAAAACCATTGTGTACTAGTTTACATACCTTTATCTGACTCTAGTACGGTTGATGTGTGTACTAGTTTACATAATTTTATCTGACTCTAATATTGTTGATGTGTGTACTAGTTTACATACCTTTATCTGACTCTAGTACTGTTGATGTGTGTTCGATGACAGGGTAGAAGTCATTAAGGACTAGTTTACATTGTGCAAAATTCAACAGAATAACAAGTTTCTGTTCATTTAACTTGTTCCATATTTCGTCACGGGGCTTCTCTCTGAAATAAAAATGACAACATTTTCGAAATATGATCATTGTGATGTATTATACAATCACAGATGCTAGAATCATGCAGGCAAAAAATTAAAATTATGCAACAAAAAGCACAAAATGCATTGTAATACAACTGTACAGTTATTAAGTATGTATTGCAGAAAATATGATATTGATTCAAAATATAAGAAATCTTACTTTAACATTAGTGTTTCTAAATAACTGATTGCCTCAAAATATTTTTCAGACGCTTCCTTGGTTTTCTTGGCCTTGTAAAGTGTATTCCCTTCTTCTTTTAATTTCGGGACAGCTGCTTGTTTTTCTTTTTCATTTAACGTCCATGACTCTTTCTTGTATTCTGTTGGTTGTTGTATGTCTAAAACTTCTGCAAATATAATGCATTAAATTGGAAAAATGGTGATTTTCGATGTCTATAGTCCTCTTGTGACCGCAAGGGTGTCATCACCTGTCCACAGCATGGTAAAGCAATTGTCATTTTGTATTATAGTTTGTGTTTCATTGAAGGACATATCTAATATCCTGATAGTCAATTATTTAGATGAGGTACCGCTCTATATATAACTCTGAGATGAAAGAGCATTTGATTTAAAAATAAAAAAAGAATAGTGTGACTGATAAACATTCAGTGAATAACTAAACATGTTCTCAATGCTCCCAGAATTCCATAAGAATGGGGTGTGGCTTGAAATGGCCTTCAGGTGAAGAACCTCTGGTTTTGGTCAATTCCTGTAAATTTTTGTGTGGGGTATGAATAATCCATTCTGATACTCATAGCATCTTTCTGTTTCACCTGAAACATCTCAGAGCTGAGAAGAAATGAGATGTCATGGTATATCATGATGTGAATAATCAGGAAATGACTTCTTTCCATAATTCATATTTATCAATCTTGCAGAACACTGGGGGTGATATAATACCCAGTCAGTTGTGTAAACTAGATATGGCAGTGATCTTCCCAGCATTAAAGCATGTGGGCGCAGCACCCACCTGAGATTTTGAAAATAAGCTTGCACCCACCTGAAAATCAATATGCACCCACTTGAAAATGAGAAAAATCATGAAAAATTGGCAAATTTTGACCAATTTTGGTCTGAATTGTGAAAATGAAAATGTTGTACCCACATGAGAAAAAATCCTGGGGAGATCACTGTATGGGATTATGCTCTTTTAATTTTATGTATTTCATGTATTTCAAGACAATAAATTCTGATTCATAAAATGTTTTTAGTGACCTTGAATCTGAACTCACCAAATATAAATTCTAGTTTTTGTGGAGATTTCAATAATTCATTTAAATCGCTGTAGCCAGTGCCACCCTGGTCCGCCATTTGCATCATACCACAACAGTGTTTCCGTTCCTGTACTGGCTTGTTATGCGCAATATCCCTGAGATTTTTCGCAACCAATGGGTATGTCGCAGCATGCTAAAATCAAAAGGTAAAGACTAAGAGACCTTTATTAATGAAATAACGGCAACTCCGCGGAGTAGCAAATCCCAACGAACAAAATATCAATTAGCAAATTCCAATCAATTATACTCATTACTTTGGTTAAAATTGAAAAAATTAGATTTTAGAATTGCGAATTCCTGCAAAGCAGCCATTTTGAATTTTCTGAGAAACAAATCTGAAAAATAATACCATAATTGTGATCTACTCCAAAATTCCTTCAATTTGAGTATAATATAGCCATACTTTGAAGGGATCGAAAAATTATTGCGAAATCGTCCATTAGACGGCCATTTTGAATTTTACGAGGCTCGAATCAGAAAAAAGATACAATATTTGCAATCTACTCTTAATTGCCTTTCATTTGAGTATAATAAAGCTATACTTTAGAAAGATCTAAAAATTAGCGAAAATTTCTGTTTTCCTGTCTCCCCATACACGGCCCCTGGGGGTCAGGATGAAAAACGCGGAATATATGTGAAATAGATAAATGTTGTGAATATACTACCAAAATTTCAAACAATAATATTAATTACTTTGGTTCAGAATGAAAAATTTATGATTTTTGCGAAAAAGTCCTGTCATTTCTAAAGCGGCGGCCATCTTGAAAAAAATTTTTTTGCGTAAAACTATTCACCAATATACATCTTTCCACTAAATATGAAGAAAATCCGTCAACTAGTATTTTGAGTTATCTTCCGGACAGACGGACGGACTGACGGACAGACGGACGGACGGACGGAGGGCTTCACTATATCCCTACCGAACTCCGTTCGTTGGGATAATAAGGTAATAGTGAGTCAATACATGTGGCTTATTTTTGCAAATAACATGGGTTTTTAAGTAAGTCAATGAATTATTTTAAGACTGTGAAATATTCTACTAAATTAGAAATACTTTCCATTAGATCAGAAAGATATTCTACTACATTAGAAAGACTTTCCATTTGATCAGAAAGATATTCTACTGAATTAGAAAGACTTTCCATTAGATCAAAAAGATATTCTACTAAATTAGAAAGACTTTCCATAAGATCAGAAAGATATTCTACTGAATTAGAAAGACTTTCCATTTGATCAGAAAAGATATTCTACTGAATTAGAAAGACTTTCCATTAGATCAGAAAGATATTCTACTGAATTAGAAAGACTTTCCATTAGATCAAAAAGATATTCTACTAAATTAGAAAGACTTTCCATAAGATCAGAAAGATATTCTAATAAATTAGAAAGACTTTCCATTAGATCAGAAAGATATTCTACTGAATTAGAAAGACTTTCCATTTGATCAGAAAAGATATTCTACTGAATTAGAAAGACTTTCCATTAGATCAGAAAGATATTCTACTGAATTAGAAAGACTTTCCATTAGATCAAAAAGATATTCTACTAAATTAGAAAGACTTTCCATTAGATCAGAAAGATATTCTACTGAATTAGAAAGACTTTCCATTTGATCAGAAAAGATATTCTACTGAATTAGAAAGACTTTCCATAAGATCAGAAAGATATTCTACTAAATTAGAAAGACTTTCCATAAGATCAGAAAGATATTCTAATAAATTAGAAAGACTTTCCATTAGATCAGAAAGATATTCTACTGAATTAGAAAGACTTTCCATTTGATCAGAAAAGATATTCTACTGAATTAGAAAGACTTTCCATTAGATCAGAAAGATATTCTAATAAATTAGAAAGACTTTCCATTACATCAAAAAGATATTCTACTAAATTAGAAAGACTTTCCATAAGATCAGAAAGATATTCTAATAAATTAGAAAGACTTTCCATTAGATCAGAAAGATATTCAACTAAATTAGTAAGACTTTCCATTAGATCAGAAAGATATTCTACTAAATTAGATCTAGATCAGTTACTTACAAATTTGAAAGATATTGTTACTTACTGTTGCAGAAACAGTGAATGAGGCCACTTCCCCATTACACATGGTCTGTAAGCACGTTTCCCAGCATTCGAGTTTGAACTTTTTCCCAATAATAATCTCCATGGGTTTATCATGTTTTTTGCTATCATCTAGCACAGTTTGTTCTTCGTTGCATTTGCGAGTTTTATAGTGAAATTTCACCTGAAAAAAATTATATAAAATTCTTACTAGAATGATAGTGTATTACATGTAGGTCCTGTATTTTAAAGAAATTTGGCCATTAATAGCTTCGCTCTCCAAACTCTTTGACCTCTAAGCGCTGAAATGTTTAAAGGACGATTCTCGGTTTGGAGAACGAAGTTCATCAATCTAAATGAGCATTATCCCTGCTTCGGACAAATTTTATTTTTTTACATAATAAAGATTTGAATGTCCTCTTTTGAATAGTCATAATTTAATTTGGGTAATATTTCTAGATTTTTCTCAAAAAAATATTAGCGCAGTACACTGATGAACTTCTTTCCCCAAATCGAGACTTGTATTTTATTAAAATCGGTCTAATTGAGCGTTATCCCTGCTCCAGACCAATTTGATATTTTTACATCTTGTAGATTTAAATGTCCTCTTTTGAATATTCATAGTTTAATTTGGGTAATATTTCTATATTTTTCATGAAAAAAAATATTAGCCCAGGAGACTGTTCTCCAAACCGAGAATCGTCCTTTAAGAATGTATATATGTTCATGTACATGTACATGCTGTCTAAGCAATTGCTCTCACTATGCTTTTAGACTGTGGAGCACCACCACAGTTTATTTAACTTTACCATAACCTATAAATAAATCATGATTGTTTCCGCAGAAGTCCAGTATCCATTGAAAGATGGCAGGACAGTGATAACGGTTTTTTGCTACTGACCCATTAATCTCAAAGCAATGAAGTTTTGGTCTTAGAGGTCAATCAAAATGGTGGCCGAATTACAGTAAGATAATTATCTCAGTGTTTCTCTAAAACACTGCTGATTATCTGCCTATTATACTTAGATTTTGTCTTCACAAGGTAGGCCAATTTATATTCTTTCATTTGATATGTTTAACTAAATTGAAAGGTAAGATTTTTAGAAATTGCTGTGGAAATAAAGTGCGTCCAAGGGACTCGGGAGTTTTTTATTTTTCCGTCCAGCATTATTTTTTGGGGTCCATCTAATGTAAGGACGGCGTTAAATAAAACGTAGATGCCAGAGATAAGTAAGGTAGTAAGGAGCTTATGGACATTTTTACATCTTCTTTCATTCAATATTTGCATACATATAAGTTTGCAGATAGATTAAGTTGATTAGCTTGCTTAAATGTTAAAATTATGAGCCTTGCTCATCTATTTGGAATATTTGAAATTTTTTACTGGCTTCTGAAATTTTTTTTAGATAATGTTTTGGTCTCTCCACATTGTTGTGTATGGTTTCCGCTAACATCTAAATATAAATTGATTTGTCAGAAGATTCGGCAGACCAGTGAAACAAAAACACAATAGTTGAATTATCAATACATTAGCGTGGAAATGGAAAGTCAATGAAAGGCCAATCTTGAATCTGGTATCCTGATTGTACAACAGCAATGTGAACGTAGATGATGGTGAATAATATCATATCAATATTTATTTCAAGTCGGATAATTTTTGTACAATAAACATTAGCGCAAGCGCTATTGACCGACATATAGACATAGAAATAAGTATCAAGAGCAAGCACAAGTGAATGAACCACCAGCAAGGCAGCAACACGTGACCAATAGGCGATATAAAAACGCTATAATGGATAAACAAACAATCAAATAGATACTCAAAGCATGATTAAAATGACAAAGGAAACCGAGAAAGTAAGAAAGAAAATCAATCGTTGAAATTGAATCAATGAATTTTATGTCGTGAATTCACATAAAGTAAAGATATTTTGCTATTTTCAGACTAAATTTATTACCTTCGTTCCCTCTACAAAATCTGGAAGCATTCCTCTACCAGCATGGATGATTTTCTTTTGCATCCCCAGCCTCTGCATGGGATCATGAACCATTTCAACTTTCGCAGACATTTCGGGAAAAAAATTGTTTGCACCGACTGATTTCTGACAGGTGCTTCAAACGAACGACTAAAATATAACAATCAACGCCTCGAGATATGTTTCATAACAACTCGTTATGCGTTCGATTCGATATTAAAACTGGGATGATTCGATAAAAAAACAACAGTGATCTTCAAATCAATATTTTGAAGAATACGGATATATTTAGATTCGTAGAGAATGAAAGTTTAATTGCACAATCATTGCCCATGATATATGCGTTCGTAATTTTTATGAAATCGCCTGTAAGTGTGGCCTCGTTTTGAAGTTACTACGGATCTACGAGATGGCAAAACGGCAAGAAATTTTGAAAATCGTATCTTTATTTACGGTTTTCTCATTATTTACAACACAAATATTTGGTAAACCAACTGAAAAGGGAGCTGTTACTAATCCTGTCATATTAGGTAAGTAAAACTATGAGATCTTGAGAGTTTTTAGTAATGAAATACATTGAAAAGAGGAGGGTGCATTTCGAGATTTTGATCGATTCAATGTTTTTCATAAAATTATGTAACGGTTAGATAATCCATATATTCACAAATATTGCTAGCAAATATGAGATAATGGTAAAACATGTACTTAATATTTACATTGTTGCTTTTATTTACTGCTTTGTTATTTCCAAAATGTATTAATTCGTATTTTAGCATCTGTGTGGGTGTGGTCTAAAACAATGTAGCTGATTGGTCAGAATTTGTGGGCCAGAACCGTTTTAATCCCTGATCTCTCAAGGTCTAAATACTAGCACTGCTAAGTTGCTATGCTTAAAGGTGCAACAAGCAGTGCAGAGGGGCCATTCAATGATCATGGACCTGTGTCGAAATATATATAAGTTTGGATATTTCATCAAGACTAACATCTATTTTTATTTTCTACAAAGAAACCCCCTAGATAATCATTATTTCAGCTTATATTCCTCTTGAAACATGGTGGATCTTAAAATATAAAAGTGGACGTCCCCTTTTTGAAACTTTGAACTGAATTTACACTTTTTAATGCCGAAATTGATAGTTTATCCATACATTTTAAGAAAATAGGTATGTCGAAGAAGATGTTAAGCCAACTGTTGCCTTGATAGCTCAGAAAAAGTTAAAATTTTCCTATTTTCTCTCTACAAGCCTTATTGCCCCTTTAAGAGCTATAACTAATCTATTTCGATTAATCCCTCTCCAATACTGTGACTCTATTTGAACCATACCATCTTGGCTGATCATATCTTTGCTTTATCAAGTCATGTAAGTCACAAGAGAAAAGCACCGTTGAAAAAACAGCACTAGAGACTATTAGGTGACATGAACATAGTATTAGATGAAAATTTTAATAGGGCTTATAGGCCTATCATATGGGTCAAATTGTATCAAAAATATTCATTTTAACAATTAATGTAGTCAGGGTTTCACCCGGTTTGATGTAACCAAACCTGTCTGGCCCAGTTATCTACTCCCGACCTCGTAGATCTGGGCCAGACAAGGTCCAATGCAAAAAATGGGGTATTTACTCCGGAAAAAACACACTGGTTTTTCAATGTATAATACGTGCTGATAAATGAATAAACATCATAAAAGTCACTTACATGTTTGTTCCTTGTATCAAACTTTGTATTTATATTAGGTTTCCATCGCTGGATGATGGCTAATAAATAAGAACGAAACGATTAAACGCAGCAAAAAGAGAAATTCTTCTGCAATCTGTTTGTGATCTCATAGAATATCGAGAAGTCTCTCCTGCATGTTTCGTTCAGTAGTACATTCTGTCAGTTCAACAAATTGAAAAATCGTATTTAATTTCCACCATATTTCTTTCCAGTCTAAATACAACACAGATACGTCTGTTTTATAAAGTAATCTACGTTTTGATAAGAAATCTGCTGAACAAATCGTAATATTTGGAATGTATTGATTCCCGGGAAATGTATTTTCGTTCATGAAAGTTTAAAAATTATCGCGTCATACTCGTGTTACGTCACATCACGTGACTTTATTCGGTGCGGAGAACTGACAAAATGTTGTGCCCATTTCAACATCAAAATAACAAACAAAACACCACATTTACGTGTAAGTTATGTACTCTTTATTTCAAATAAATACTTGGGTTTACATGTAGCCCAATGTTTTGGTTGGATGGCTAATAGGGAATGAATAATAAGTGATGATTCAGCGACATGTTTTTTCCTGAGTAAATCCCCCCTTTTTTGCATTGGACCTTTTCTGGCCCAGATCTACGATATCGAGAGTAGATAACTGGGCCAGACGGGTTTTGTTAGGTTTGATGGTTCATTGTTTGTGTTATCTAATTGAAACCCCATGCATATATGTAGCACTTTTATTAACAAATGCAGTAACTTACCATTTAGTGCTGATTTCATGTTAATGCTTGAATTGTTTATCCAGAATTTTCACTCCTATGTAGGTTTCACTGTACTTTCAGCTATTTTTGCATGGATGCCTTTATGTGTTTTTTTTCAAATAATACAGTCAAGTGCAACATGTCAAAAATATGACCCAACATGAGTGCACCAAACAAGCTTTTTTGTGGCGATGCATAAGACTGACTATGCTTTACTAAGTGTCTTTATCACTATAGACTAAGTTACTAACCTCTTGTATATATGTCCTTATTTGTTCATATTTTAGTGCCGGGCGATGGAGGGACCCAATTTTACGCAAAATTAGACAAACCGAGCACCATCCATCGTTGGTGTACAAAACAGACGAAGAACTTCTTCTCCTTGTGGCTTAACCTTGAACTCATTGTTCCTTTTGTTCTCGATTGCTTTGTCGATAACATGAGGTGAGTGGATTATGTAAATTAGTTAAGCGCCATCTTTATTTCAGTGCCTGGTGATGGCGGATCACAGTTCTTCGCCAAGTTGTCAAAACCTAGCGTCATTCATTATTGGTGCAGTCAACATACAACTGCATATTTCTCGCTGTGGTTGAATTTGGAAATGGTTAGCCCGTTTGTCCTCGACTGTTTCGTGGACAATTTGAGGTAAAGTTTGTGCATGTTTTAAATTCACATAATCGTTGGTAAGGAAATACAGTTTCATTGAAACAGTTCTGAGCCTATAGTCCAAATATGGGAAAGGAATTGTTAAGTAAGTTAATTGTTGCAGCCTAAATTGTTGTATCTATTGTGTAACCAAGATTCAAAGACATAAATGAACTGTGGTACCTATGCACGATTTATGAACAAATTATCATACTCCGGAGTTTCCATGTCATATAAGCCTGATTCAAATATCAAAGCCTTTTGTCAACTATAAACTATTTTAATTCAATTAAATCTAATATCTAAATCGACACTTAACGTCCGCCATCTTAAATGCGAAGGTAACGGTCGTTACCTTTGTTTGATACTGACCAGTGATCATGGTTTGAGGAAAGGCTCAAGATAAGATACTTCTAGATAAGGAATGATACTCTTGTAAACTGTATCTTTAAGCACTTCAATTTGATTATGAAATGAATTTATCTTGTTCTTAACTTGAATCAAGTAGTGACTGAAATGCATACAGAATAGAAGATTAAAACAAAATAATTATGTAACATTACAACAAATTACTTATGATACAACTTAGAGGAGATTTTTTCTCATGAATTGAAAATAATACTTTTTAATACTACAAAGAACAGTTGTATTTTATTGAATACATTATCTGTTCCATTTTCTATATCTAATTCATAATATTTCATTTGTCTGATTGCACACTTTTGTAAATTTGAAATAAGGTTAATTAATGATTATTATATGTGTATAATATGTGTGTATCTTTATTACAAAGTGAATTAGGTACAATTGTGTTGTTTGCCAAATATTTTTTTCTGTCATATGTTTTGATATATAATATCTGCAGCTTCTGTCAGGACAGTTGGGTGGGTTAAGGCGCCACATAAATTTTGTCAGCAATATTAAAGGAAAACTGCTCATCCTATTAACTACCTATTAAATCTTTACAGGTTCCGTCACATAATTAGATTCGGGCCAAATTGGGTAGATTACATACATAGGGGCGATTTTGCGCTTTAAAAATGTAGTATTTATCACTGTAGTTCAAAATATGGAAGTAAAAAAATACAGAACTTCCTTCATTTGGATAATTAACATGGTGATTATATTGCTCTTTAAAGTATGATATTTTCACTGTAGGTCTTGTTCAAACCAAATATCAAGTGAAATATTGTTCACTGCATCTTCATTTGATAGTGATTCTCACATATACCCATATTCTTTTTAATCATTGAGCTCTCATCAGCTTCAAAATTGTAAATAGAATGCATTCATTGGGAAATGAATGAAACATTTAAAACATTTGTATGGAAATTTTCTTTGATAAGTTACTTTATTTATTGGGACACACTAGCTTAAAAGTTCATCTTAACCCTGTTACTCTCTGTTGTTCAGTGCCAAATTTTATTTATCAAATAACATTTGCCATATCAAATGAAAAGTGTGGTTAGCCATCATATGACATGTGATCACATGATTTCATTGAGTGTTTTCAGTTCCTTGTGTCCTGGTCTGACTTCACAAATTACATGGTATCATATTTAAAGAGACTTATGCTGTTCTTGAGAATAAACGCAAGTTTTATGTCTTGGTTGTTTGTGATCAACTTAAAGGTGTACAATAGCATATTTCCGAACTTGAAAAGACGCAAAGAATGAGTTAACTCAATTCCACATATATATTGCTGATAATTTCTTTTGAACAAATAATAATTTTCAATATATTATTTTCAATCTTCATTAGTTATGGGTTTCAAATGCAATCACATTTATGTCAGTACCACCACAAGTAGTCTTAAGTAGTGAGAAAATATTAGTCTCCAACTTTTTTGTGGACATTGTTTGGTGTCCAGCAGTAGGTGTTTAGAGTTTGGCTTCTGTAAGAAATGGCAGGTGGTGGCATTTTGTGTGATATTGTTAATGCCTTGTTCAGTTGTTGTTATGAAAAACTGGTTGTCTGTTAGGCAACATCCTCCGATCACAGAGCTTCAAAATCCAGAATATATTCTTTCTTTTTTACCCCCTGCAATAAGCAGTTAGCATTTCCCCGATTAAGAACTCGCAATCTGATCGGCTGTCGCAACACTGCGACAGAAATCATGTATAAGTCATTGCGCATAATTAGATCATGTGATTCAGTTGAATCGGGCGCTTCAGTATTGGTTATAGCAGGGGGGAAGAAGGAGGTACGGATTCTGGACACCTTCTTAGGAGGATGGTTAGGCAATGAACTGTTGATTTGTTCATACATTTTGAAAGGAACACCAGTGAAACTTATATTGACACCAAAAATATGAATAAAAATCAATGTATGCCTCTTTATGTAACTTTATTCTTTTCAAAATTGTTTTGAACTATTGTTCTTTAAAATAACAACAATCATCCGATCATTTTTAATTGTTTGCTGCTTGTTTGGTTTGGTATCACCCCATGTACTTTAATAAGTACAGATGTCCTTATGATTTATACTTTAAGAGTGCTCTTGAAATGATAAGATAAATTTGAGGTGGCCTTGTTTTTAGACAGGACAGTGTTATAAGACACATACTACATAGTGCCACCCTTGCTGAAACCTTAAACCTTACTGCATTTGGATAACTCTCAAAGTTGTAAAAATTGTACTAAAGGCTCTACAATTTTAATGTTCCATTGGTGGTAAATTGTACACTAGCTTTCTAATTTAACAGTACACCTGCACTGAAGTCTTGAGTTTTTTTCATTTTTACCATTCTTCGGCACAGTTAGTATGGCTAGCAGGTTTTCCCCTTGGGTTCATTTTTGGTACAGTTGTAAACTAAAGGTTCCAAAAATTGACCCCAGTAGAGTATAATTTTAAAGGTACATGTACTTGTACAGGGCTCTCACCAGGGTGTGGTGCTAACATCTTCAGAATAACTGTTCAATCATGATAAATCATATTTATGTTATGTTTTATCCTTTTTACATGCCATTATTGTATATTCAGCCAAGTTTAGACTGTGGAAGCAGTCATGATTTGCCAATAGGGTGTGGAGGGAGCTAAATAGAGTGTGGTGCTGCGTCACAGTCTAAAAGCCTGGCAAGAGCCCTGTTGTATATTGAAAATTGTAGTGATTAGATCCCTCAAAAAATCAATTGAGATGAGTAGATAATCTCTGACAACCACTATTGTAACAGTATTTGTGATATAATTCTCCTTAAAATGTGTGTCTTTATTTATACAAGTTGGAGTTTCCTTCTTCGAATTATAAAAGGAAACTAAAACTGAATTTCCCTTCCTTTGTTGAACAAGGAAGATATCATTTTACAAGGGTTGGGCAAATAAAAACTTGATTTTTTTAGTATGTATAGTAAAACATGATGGGTATGCAAACATTTTTTGTGAAAACTATGAAAGTCACTTTGACTCCCATTGAGATACAAAAAAAGGAAAAACAAATAGTTACCAAAAAATTATGAGTATATCACACACAGTGCAATGGCCTTTTTATTGCAGAATGATTTGTAAATAACCGTATGAAAAAAAATCCGAAACAAACAAGTTATGCCAATATAATTCTGTTAATCAAATAGGATTATTTTTTAATCATTTTAGAAAGAAATCCACTATAATTACACAGTAAAAAAAAATATAGAAACTGTAAATTTTAGTGATGTTATAAACTTGAAATAATTTTTTCAGACTTGTGTACAATGAAACTAGTAGAAAGACGTCTAACTCCCCGGGTGTTGATATCCAAATTCGAGAATTCGGGAACACTTCTTCTGTAGAATGGCTTGATCCCAGTCAGGTTTCTCCAAGTGAGTAGAACTTTGCTTTTTGCACTTTTTCATATGCTATATTGTCATCGTCCTGTGCTGATGGGTGTGCATGCCACGGTGCGTCTGTCTGGGCCGGCAGGCAGGTGCAGCGCCACCTAAATCAAACCTCGTTTTTAAACTCCAGTGAATTCACTTGTCCGTTCAAATTGAAATTTTCAACAGATGCAAGAGCGCCCTTAGTGCTAAGATCTGATAATTTTGTGGGCATGCTGGGTTAACTTCATGGCTATTTTGAATTTTCGATAAAAAAGTGAATACTTGTTTGTCTTGTTATTTAATAGTATACATTTTTAATGTTCTATAAGATTTAGATCTAAACATTAAATAAATAGTCTCTTAAGCAGCAGATACTCATTGAAAATATCTAATGTTTTTTCATAAGTAAATTCAGAACTCAATATTTTGAACATGAAAGGAATTTTGTTTCAGCAAAAAATATTTTTGAAAGTTTTGGAAAAGTTGCTCACACCTCATTGCATTTCTGTTTTATTTGTAGCAAGTTACTTTTCACCCATTGCCAATGCCCTTGTAAAGGCTGGATATCAACGGGGAAAGAGCATCCGTGGTGCCCCCTATGATTTCAGGAAAGCCCCAAGTAAGTAGTAAACTACCAAAAAACTTAATTTTAATCATATGTATTTTCTAAAAGATAAATTAAAGGGAAGGCAGTCAAAAAATGTCTCACAAAAAAAATTTATGTTATGAACCATCAGATGTGCATTTGAGCGCTTACCCAACATTCAATTGTTGCTGTTGTCTTGTTTAAGCTCTTGTAACTCCCCCAGTCCCCCCTCCCCCTTAAAACATTTGAACTTGACCAGATTTTTGCATAAATTGCATTCAGTTTTTACATTGACTATTTCCAGATGAGCTCCAGGACTTCTTTGTGAAGTTTAAGGCCCTCGTAGAAGATACATACAAAATAAATGACAACAAAAAAGTTGTGTTTGTATGTCACAGCATGGGAAATGTGATGATGTTATACTTTTTGAACCAGCAGAAGCAGTCTTGGAAAGATAAATTTGTCTCCTCTATGATTAGTTTATCTGGACCATGGGGTGGGGCTGCAAAGACACTGCGGCTAATGGCCTCAGGTATAACCTTATGTGCATTTTTAATGGATGGTGTCCAAATTTCAAAAGGACAATTCTCGGTTTGGAGAACGAAGCTCATCAATCTAAATGAGCATTATCCCTGCTTTGGACAAATTTGAATGTCTTCTTTTGAATAATCATAATTTAATTTGGGAATACTTTCTCTTATTTAACTTTCTTAGGAATTTAGAAAAATTAACATTCTTTCCTTATATATGAAATCATCATTTACCATTTAACTTTGTTATTGAATAACTGTTGAAATTAGAAGTCTATTTAAGTTTAGTTTATCACATTATAACTAACTTTAGATTATTCATGACAAACATTCTCATTATCCCACCAAACATAGAAATATTATTTTTTTGATAGGGCAAATACTGATTATCAGATTTGGTTCAAATTTTCTAGGCCGATCCCTCATTGTCATTGAACCTTTTTAGAAATAATATAAGAAGGACTTTATAACATTTGTATTACACCATGTCATAACTGTATATTTTGTTTAGAGACAATATTACTACCTATCAAGTAATGTTAAAATTGATGAGTGATTTAATAAAAATTGTTTTATTCAGTGGGATTTGCTACTCTCAGGAGTTTTTTTTCTAGTTTTGTCATCCCTGTCAAAATTTTACAAAAACATTCATATTATGTTTACATTTTCACTTTCTTAGAGAATAAAAGAACTGTTTTCACAATTTACATTATTTTTTTCCAGGTGATAACTTGGGTTTATTTGTCGTAAACCCCTTCACTGTGCGCCCAGAACAACGTAGCATGCCGAGTTCCGCCTGGCTTCTCCCGTATGACAACTTCTGGGACAAGGACGAAATTGTGGTCTCCCAACCCAATGCCAATTACACGGTGCATGATTATAAACAATTTTTCGAGGATATCAAATTCCCCAATGGCTTCCATATGAGAGAAGACACTAAAAACTTACTACAGGGTTCCGAAGTTGCGCCAGGTATTGAAGTGCATTGCATGAATGGAATCAAGGTTCAGACACCTGCAAGTTTTAAATACTCTGCCAAACAATGGCCAGATAGGCAACCTGATACGATATATGGAGATGGTGATGGTACGGTAAACCAAAGGTCCTTATATGGATTTAAGAGATGGCAGAGTAAGCAGAAACAGAAAATAACGCACACTGAGTATGCAGGTGTGGACCACATGCAAATTCTCGGACATGATAAAACGATAGCTGATATTAGGGATATACTTGGTGTTTAAGCCCTTACAACATATCTCATTCTTGTCAGGTTCTAATGTGATATTTTTGCAAGGGTCAGTATTAATTACAATCAATGTTCATGTAAAGAAAAAATATCGCAGTTTTAAATGTGGAACTCATTTCTGAATTTTCAAAACAATGACAATAGCTCCAGGGTTAAACAGAACTTGGGATATTACTGAATTAGGCGGGTAACCTTTTATACACAATTTTTTATAGATCACTCTGTCTTTTTTGTGAAAAACCTAGATCTGTTTTTGGTGTTGGTGCTAATATAAATAGTAACTAGATGTAATTTCTGTGATATTTATCTGTTAGGATTTGATTCTTCACTCTCGCTCCATCCCTATAGGGTATTTGAAAAACATCATTGTTTAACTTTTTTAAAACCCAGAACGACGGATATATTTCTGTCATGATACCAAAAATGTTACATATACTGCATTAAATATATTAACTGATATTGACTAATTTGACAAACATTGAGCTGTTGTATTTAGAGTTATTTATTTAGTGTCAAAAATGGGCAAAAACGAAAAATTCAAACCTTCTCAAAAGACTAGCATTTAAGAGCACAGGTTAAAAATCAAAATCTCACCTTTCAAATCCTCTGGACTGAAACACTTTTTTGGTATTTTTGACCCTTTTTTGCTGTATCATACCTCATGTTATCAGATTTGTTCTGTAAGGGTGTTGCACTAAACCTATATTTTAGTTTTTAAGCGAGGTTTTCAGTATTATTGTACAGAAATCAATACATATAATCCTTAAACAGCTGAAACATGATTTCAAATTTTCGTGTAAAATTAATAATGGTCCCAATGATTTAAGCTCCCGTAATATATGGCCCAAAGTGATTTGGGGATGTTACACAAAAGAATTAACACCATTTATTCTTTGATTGTTATATCAAGAAAAAACATTTTGTACGGGTGAGAACTCATTCTCTGAACGCAGAGGAGGACCAGTCATTTTCCAGTGCTGAAGAAGTATGGTCCACTGCGTTTGGAGGATGGTGAGAACTTAGAGCAATTATGATAAGATTTGCTGGCTGAATGTGGGGAATTTGAAGCAGTGTCAAAATCCCCACCCTAGTCCAAAGTGAGTGAATCCGATATATTACTTTGGAATTGGATGGTGAATAGAACATCTGATATTCTTTATTATTACGTACCACGTAGAAATCCTGCTTTCTGATTGGTTCCTATCAAAAATATTATAATGATGCTAATTATAATTTGGTAGCTTTTTAGAACTTTGATAAATACCGGTAATTCTTTTGTAATGTATATACGATAATATTGTCCCTGTATATACAGATAAATTGCACTATAAATTGTTTGATTTGCCGGTGATTTTTCACATATGATGTATATATTTGCTATATTTATGTGGTTCTGGTATGATGTTTTAAACCTGTTGTTAGACCCCAAAATAAAATATCTGATTCATGTTTTGCGATTTTTCCAAATTAATGAGGGGAACAGGAGTTTGTCTCTTCTTTCAATGTCAAGGTCATAATCAGTCGATTTTATTTGAAAGCGAGAGTCAGTTAGAATTAGCTTACTTTATTTCCCCAGCTTCAAAAATATGCACTTGAGCATAAGCTCCTAAAAATCAACCAGCTTTAAAATTTGCAATTTTTGTAATTTGCCAAGCATTCGGCTTTGTCATTTTTATATATACATATAACATGTAGTGTGTAGTACCATACATTTTGCTCCACCAGGATTGTATTGTCTATAATGCATTCCTTGTGGTGTGAAATCAAGTTCAAATCTGACCGAGATCATCCATTGTATATATAGCATCTCATATTACTGTGTATATATAAATACATGTTATTATATCACTCTACTATACCTTGCATTTAGTGTTCATAAGCAACCCATTTGGCTTAATACTAATGATTATGTTATTTTTTTTATTTGTCTGTTCCTTATGAATGGTTTATCGGAAGACTGTTAGATGTTAATAAGGTACTTGCAAATATGTACACTAAACAATACAATACTCCTATTCGCGATAAGAGTTCAGGTGGTAATTTACATAAATATCTCCCATGACAAACAGAGTATATTATGCATTTCTAGAGGCTAGGTATAGTAGACCGTGTATATGTAAGTGAACATGCATGCAAATGTGATATTACACAATCCGCTAAATTGTCCTTTATTAAAGTTATATATCAATTTAATACAAAAAATAATAATATTACTTTTTCTATGATTTGAAATTCATAATATATTGCACATTTTTCTGTTTTTATCATTCAGTATAGTTTTCAAAAATAATTATTCTACAATGTAATGGATGTTTATTATCAAGTATTATGAGGATTGATGATAATCATATTGTTCGTAATTTTGAGATTGAATGTTTAACATCTAAAGACAATGAACACCATCTAATTCTTAAGATAATGTTCATTATTTTGATAATGAATGTTCAGTATCTAAAGACAGTGCACCATCCAATTCTAAAGATAATGCTCATTATTTTGAGTACAATAAATACAATGTTTATTATCTAAAGACTCTATCTCATCATCTGGTACTGATAATAATCTTCATTATCTCATGCAATGTGTAATGCTCATTATTTGTACATGTTTATTGTGTGAAGATAATGTTTATATGAGGGAAGCACTCTATAGCTCAAATAATTTTTTTCATTATATGTAGACAATGTTTATTATCTGAAGGATGTGTTCATTTACTGAAAAGAATTGGTTATTTCTGTATTGATATAAAATTCAGAGTGATTACATATATTGTTATATTACCATGGTTATATTTACCATGGTTGTTTAGTAAATAGAACTGGTACTCCATTTGTTTTTGTGTACCTCTTGAACGAACCTCTTACCTTTCACTTGTGTTTTCTGTGCCTTATTGATGTCCATTAAATTTGTATTACTAATTATTTCCATTTTGACATCAAAACAAGTAATTGCATGAGTATTATTTATTTGGATTTCTTAGTTAAATATACATAGGAAAATATTGAACATTTTTGTGCTTTTTTAATACATTAAAATGACTAAATATCATGTGTGGTATGCCTGTTTAAATAGTTAACAACAGAAAATGATGGCTTACACGTCAAAGCATTTGATAAAATGATGTCAGAGTGGAATACAGATTCTGCACCAGGATGTAAATACTAAAAATGTCAGGTTTATCAATTGGATCACTGGAAAGAACAAGTCTCAGTTTGGAGGACGGTCTCCTTGGCTTATAGTCTTTTATGAAAAATATAGAAATATTAAATTATGAATATTTAAAAGAGGACCTTTAAATCAACAAGATGTAAAAATATCAAAATTGTCCGAAGCAGGCGTAACGTGCAGTAGACCGATTCAATAAAAGACCAGTCTCGATTTGTAGAAAGAAGTCCATCAGTGTACTGCGCTGATAATTATTTATGAAGAATATAGAAATATCACCCAAATTTAATCATGGATATTCAAAAGATGACATTTAAATATACACTATTTTAAAATATCAAGATTGTCCAGAACAGGGGTAACGTACAGTAGACTCATGAACTTTGTTCTCCAAACCGAGACTAGTCTTTTCATAGTCATTCAATAAAACTAGACAGTTTGAAACCTGTCTAATATGAACATTATTTGAACCGGTGTAAAATAAATTATGGTCCCCTTTCCTTACGGCCCTTACTGGCCCTGACTGTGTATAGATAATAAGGAAAATAATTGTAATTAGGTCACCATATAAATCAATAGAGAGTAGGACCAAAATTTGATAGGACCACCTACCCTTTTTCACCGGTCAAAAGTTTCGGATAAGCCTTGCAGATGTTCACATTTCAAGGCTTTTTAAACCAGTCAGATGGGAGATAAAATTTGAATCATGAAAAAGTTTTCGAGAGGTGTTCGGATAATATACAGGGTGTTCCATATGTTTCAGGAATGATGCTGTGTTTTATTGGTTTTCTTTTCAATCTAACTGAATTGTTGACACAATGTGTCTAAACATGTTTTGAATAAGTTAGGAAAGTTTCATATCGTGAGGTGCAGTAGTCTTAATTATATGGTTGCTATAGTAACCCAGGGGTAGGGTAGGTGGAGCAGGTGTAACAACGCGCAAAATAAATGAAATATTTGTAAAAATAGTTTTTTTGTACGAAGTGTGACTAAGTATTAGGTTGTCAGAGTTGGATCAAACTTGTCAGTAATTAAATAAAATTGAAGGTGGACTCCAAGAAAGTAAAAAATGTCATCACCCTTGATCACATCACAATTTAAACACCTGTCATGTCATGAGTCACAAAGGAGAATAAACATAGGTCATTTTGGACGAGCGGCCATCTTGAAAAATGAAAAAGTCATAAGCAAAGGAAAACCTTCGGCTTAGGCAACACACAACAATCTGTGACAAGACATGATATAAACTCCTGACGAATGCACATGGGGAGTCAATGATGATAACCTCTAGAGTGTATGAGTGGTACAAGCGGTTCAAATCTGGAAGGGAAACTGAGACTGATTATCCAAAATGTGGATTTCCGAGAACTAATGCGGAAGGGATAGATGCTGAAATAATGATGATGGCTAATAAAGGGTGTGATAACATTTTTAATTTCCAGGAATCCACCTTTATTCTTTTTAATTTCCAACAAGTTTGATGCGACTATGACAAATTAATACTTTGAACACTTTATACAAAAACTACTATTTTTACAAAAATATCATGTTTTGCGCATTGTTATACCTGCTCCACCTACCCTACCCCTAGGTTACAATAGCAACCATATTATTCAGTCTACTGAGTTTCATGATATGAAACTTTTACAACTTATTCACAACATATTTGGACACATTTTGTTAAAATATCAGCTAGATTGAAAAAAAAAATACAGCATCATTCCTGAAACATATGGAACACCCTGTACATGCCTCACTCTGTTAATTTACTTTTTATCATTATATTCTTGTCAGTCATTTATTCCCTTTAGTAGTTTGTGTTAATTCCATTCATATTTTTAACAATTAATTCATGTCTGTTCCTCCAATTTGAAATCGTACTACATAGTTAAACTACCCTGCGTGCCGGGCTGCGTGCAAAGTCTAGTTAAACTACAAGACGAACCTCTCTTTTAAGAAGTGAAGTCAAACGAATGCAAAGGGTATAGTTAAACAGTATATTCTAAACTGACTAAAGGGACAAGTGTCAGTAAGCACCTCTTTTAGCAGTTTAGCACCCTTACAAAACAAGTACATGTATATATGGACATAAAATTGAAGAGGGCGTATAACATATTCCTTAACTCTGAGTGTCGGGTTTTTTAAAAAAACGTTTTTCTCGCAAAATCCTGAAGAGAAGGATAAACTTTTTTACCTCTAAAAAACATAATTCACAAAAAATGTTTTCTGCTAAAATCATTATTGAAAATTATAAATCCCCAATCATGTTGCTTTTATGGCAAATTGTGTTACTTATCTGTGGCTCAAGCTAGAAAAATAACGAGGGCGCATAAAAACGTGCATAAAGTATTAACAAAAACAGAGGGGTATCCCCTCCTTGACCCCCTCTCCCCGGGGGCCAAGGCCTAGGAGGCCAATCGTAAGATATACATTTTTAAATAACATTGATGGCCCTGCCATGGCTTTGTAGCTATAAATTACTGTAGTTCTGTTATTCATTGTTCGAAAATGTTTCATCAAGTGTGCAACGTATTAAATTATTTAATTAACCCTTAAATGGTTTTTGGGGTCACCAGGGCTCATTCTTTGCAATAATTATATCAGAAATAATCATTCTATCAGAACATGAAATTCCATCTAATTATCAATTAATTCAATTCCTTTCAGATAAAACAAACCAGATATAAATCGCATTATGACTTTTTGTGCTACCTGAGGCCAAAGAACATCACTATCACTGAAACATATTCAATTAATACAATGTTATATATAAATGCTACGAAATGTTACAAGATGCTAAAACACCCGACCCCTTATGATTAGGTTTACCAGTTTACACATATCTCCATGCATTCATGATAAATAATGCATACATATTGTGAAAGGTAATAGATTAACCTATGTAAAACTGAAGGTCAGAATGAAAAAAGCGTCTCTGGTTGCAAAGTAATTGCAAAATATATCTTGGGCCCCAAAAAACCTTTAGAGGGTGAAAACAACAAGTAACAATTTAAGGGTTAAAAACATCTCAGACACTTCATTGTTAAACATCATAAAATCTTTCAACCTTGGAGGCAAGTTTCCTCTTAATATCAAACTGTCAATGGTCTTGACGTATTTATCACAATCCATTCCCATTGTTTTAAACATACACATTCTAGCTTGACATTTCAGACTCAGTTTCCTTCTTTGAATAATGTTGATCAATCTCAATTGTGTCTGAGCGGGAAAACCATATGCTTCATACATTGCATTTAGACACTGGTGGCCAGGGTCTTCTATACCGAATGAAATAGCAATTAAAAATAGTATCATTGAATTTTGACACCTAGAATAAACCAAACGCAGGTTTGTCATATTAACATCTGCCCCAAAGGCAATCAACATTTCCATACAATCACTTGAACCAAACTCAATAGCAAACATTAATGCAGTCTTCCCACTTTCGACTGCTGTATTTACATCTGCCCCATTGCCAATCAGTATTCCAACACACTCAGTAAATTCCATCCAAATTGCATATATCAATGCAGTCCATCCATATTTATCTGCACTATCAACATCTGCCAAACTGGCAGTCAAAATTTTCACACACTGAATTGAATCATTTTCTGTTGCAAACATCAATGCAGTCTTCCCATCTTTGTCTGCAGTATTTACACCTGCGCCACTAGCAATCAACATTTCTACACAGTGAGCAGATATCAAATCTTTATCAGTTGCATACAGTAAAGCAGTCCTTCCATTTTGATCTACATTATTCACATCTGCCCCAACAGCAATCAACATTTCCAGGCACTCATATGAATTTAGCTCAATTGAAAACATCAATGCAGTCTTCCCATTATTGTCTGCAGTATTTACATCAGCTCCGCCAGCCATCAACATTTCCACACACTCACTTGAATCATTCTCAATTGCAATTAGTAATGCAGTCTTTCCATCTTTGCTTGCAATATTTACATCAGCTCCACTGGCAATCATCATTTCCACATACTTGGTGGATTCCCTATCAAGTGCATACATTAATGAAGTCTTCACATCTTTGTTTGCAATATTTACATCTACCCCAAGTGCAATCATCATTTCGGCCACAAGCTCACTTGAATGAAATAAAACTGCATAGATTAACGCAGTATTTCCATCTTTGTCTGCAATATTTACATCTGCTCCATTCGCGATCAACATTTTCAAAAACTCACTTGAAAAATGCGCAGTTGCGTACATCAATGCAGTCATTCCTTCCTTGTCTTTAATATTTACATCTGCGCCACTGTCAATCAACTTTTCCATACAATCAGTTGAATGAAAGCCAAGTGCATATATTAACGCAGTCCTTCCCTCGTTGTCTGCAATATTTACATCTGTTCCACTTGTAATCAACATTTCCACACACTTATTGGATTTCTTATATCCTCTACATCTACGAATTGCATATATTAACGCAGTCATTCCATCTTTGTTTGCAATATTTACATCTGTTCCACATGCAATCAACATTTCCACACACTCACTTGAATCATTTTCAATTGCAAATAATAATGCAGTCTTCCCATCTTTGTCAGCTGCATTTACATCTGCCCCATTGGCAATCAACATTTCCACATATTCACTTGATTCATGCTCACTTGCAAACATCAATGCAGTCTTTCCATGTTTGTCTGCTATATTTACATCAGCTACACAAGCTATCATCAATTCCACAAACTTAGCAGATAACCAATCTCTTTGGGTTGCATACATTAATGCAGTCAATCCATTTTGATCTACATTATTCACATCTGCTCCACCAGCAATTAACATTTTCACACATTTAATGGAATTCGACAAAATTGCTTTCATTAATGTAGTTTCCCCATCTTTGTCTACTGTATTTACGTCTGCCTCACTGGCAATCAAAATTTCCACACATTCAATTGAGTTATGCTCAATTGCAAACATCAATGCAGTCTTCCCATATTTGTCTGCAATATTTACATCAGCTCCACTAGCAATTAACGTCTTCACACATGCAGATTTGTTCCACACAGCTGCATATATCAACACATTCCTACCATTATTGTCCGCAGTATTTACATCTGCCCCACAGGCAATCAATAATTCCACACATTCAGCGGATTTCTCTCCAAGTGCATACTTTAATGCACTTTCTCCATATTTGTCTGCTGTATTTACATCTGCTCCACTGGCAATCAACTTGTCGAAACATTCAGTAGGCTCCAAATATACTCCATGTATTAACGCAGTCTTTCCATCTTTGTCTGCAATATTTACATTTGCTCCATTGGCAAGTAACTTCTTCAATAGTCCTGTTTTCTTCCTTTTAACGGCATGTATTAACGCAGTTTTTTCCTCTTTGTCAGCTGCATTTACATCTGCCCCATTTCCAATCAACATTTCCGCACACTCATTTGAATCTCGCTTAATTGCAAATATCAATGCAGTATTTCCATCTTTGTCCGCAATATTTACATCAGCTCCACTTGCAATCAACATTTTCACACACTCACTTGAATCTCGCTCAATTGCTAATATCAATGCAGTATTTCGATCTATGTCTTTAATATTTACAGCAGCTCCGCCAGCCATCAACATTTTCACACACTCACTTGAATCTCGCTCAATTGCTAATATCAATGCAGTCTTCCCATCTATGTCTTTAATATTTACAGCAGCTCCGAAAGCCATCAACATTTCCACACACTCAGTTGAATCTCGCTCAATTGCATATATCAATGCAGTCTTCCCATCTATGTCTTTAATATTTACAGCAGCTCTGCCAGCCATCAACATTTCCACACACTCAGTTGAATCCCGCTCAATTGCTAATATCAATGCAGTCTTCCCATCTCTGTCTTCAATATTTACAGCAGCTCCGCCAGCAATCAACATTTCCATACACTTACTTGAATCATTCTGAATTGCAAATAGTAATGCAGTCTTCCCATCTTTGTCAGCTGCATTTACATCTGCCCCATTGGCAATCAACATTTCCACACACTCACTTGAATCTCGCTCAATTGCAAATATCAATGCAGTCTTCCAATCTTTGTCCTCAATATCTACATCAGCTCCGCCAGCAATCAACATTTCCGCACATTCACTTGAATCTCGCTTAATTGCAAATATCAATGCAGTCTTCCCATCTTTGTCTGCTATATTTACATCAGCTCCGCCAGCAATCAATATTTCCACACACTCACTTGAATCTCGCTTAGTTGCAAATATCAATGCAGTCTTTCCATCTTTGTCTGCTATATTTACATCAGCCCCGCCAGCAATCAACATTTCCACACACTCATTTGAATCTCGCTTAATTGCAAATATCAATGCAGTATTTCCATCTTTGTCTTCAATGTTTAAATCAGCTCCACTTGCAATTAACTTTTCCACACATGCAGATTTCTTTCTTTTAACAGCATATATTAATGCAGTATTTCCAACTTTGTCTGCAATATTCACATCAGCCCCGCTGGCAATTATCTTCTCCACACATGCAGACTTTCCAATCGCATACATTAATGCAGTCCATCCATATATATCTACATGATTCATATCTGCCCCGCCAGTAATCAACATTTCCATAGATTTAAGGGAATTCGACGTAATTGCTTTCATTAATCCAGATTCTCCATCTTTGTCTGCAATATTCACATCAGCCCCACTAGCAATTAATATTTCCACAAATTCAGAATAGTTCGTTCCAATCGCATACATTAATGCAGTCCGTCCATAATAATCTACACAATTCATATCTGCCCCACCAGTAATCAACATTTTCACACATTTGGTGGAATTTGATGAAATTGCTTTCATTAATGCAGTATTTCCATCTTTGTCAACTGCATTTACATCTGCCCCATTGGCAATCAACATTTCCACACACTCACTTGAATCTCGCTCAATTGCTAATATCAATGCAGTATTTCGATCTCTGTCTGCAATATTTACATCAGCTTCGCCAGCCATCAACTTTTCCACACACTCACTTGAATCTCGTTCAATTGCTGATATCAATGCAATCGTCTCATCTCTATCTGCAGTTCCTGCATCAGCAACATACTCAACAGAATTAATCAAACCTTGAGGACGCAATGCAGCCATTTCACCTTTGACTACGAATTGTTGTTTCCCACTTTACGGAAGCAAAAATGCAGTTTGTCCATTAATGTTTAGCATTTATTTCTGCACCATATTCAATGAATAGTTGTAATTTATCACTCTCCACCCCTATTCTGAAAGTATTTATAGTAGCAGCAGCAGCGGCGGCGGCTGTGGCGGCGGCAGCAGCAGTAGTAACGGACAGCGAGTTGTTTGTAGAATGAATCTGGGGAGCTTTTTCATGCATTTCGCTTGTGTTTTTCATCTAAAAAACACCAATACACTTTAAAACATTTTATTAACTATAAGATTGCACCATATAATTCTAAAAAATATTTCTCACTTTCAAGGACTATCTATGGATTAACACCCAGGTATTGCTGGGAATCATTTTTACGATCGCTTTTGAATAATACTGTATAAGTGGTATTTAATCCGAGTGGTTAATTTGCCGAATGGTCAAATATTTCAATTTCTTGAGTTTAATTTTCCTAATGACAAGAAACTTCCCATTGGATAACATTATGAGTACAAAATATCCGACATTTAATTTTCCGAACCTGTTAAAAATTAGGCAATAGGCAAATTAAATGATTGGGCAAAATCACCACTTGTACTGTATCAATCAATAGGTTTCATGCATGCCAATAATTTCTTAAATTGTGTAAATGGTATACCCCTTCCTTAATCCCAAGAATTTTCTCTTAGAGGAATTTCCCATAGTAATCCAATAGTATAGTTAAGTTTCCAAGCAGATTTTGAGATAACAGGAAAGTTAATCATTAATACACACCTCATTGGGTAGTGATATAAACAAAAACAACCCAATTTTCTTTATTTAAAAAAAGATAGGCCTACAGCATTTTTATCAGAACTTCTGGATCGGCCAGAATTAAATATTGTCTTCCTCCAAAACTTGAAGATTAATTCTGATCTGACATATCTAATACATTTTTTAGGAACAGTGTACCTTATTTTTCTCACAGACTGTTACCAGCAATGTTGAAAGTGACCTGATTTGTGTTTATAGACTATGCTTTAATGTGTACAACGTAGTTTTCATTACACTAATGAACGGAGGGGGGGGGTCAGATGACTGGGGGTCATCCACCATTTTTCGATATTTCATTTCGTCAAATTTTCGACAAAATTACCTATCTCTGGATCTAGGAAAGGTATTTACCAACGGCTTTTTGGCCTAAAAAGGTAGATACTATATACATCAAATACGTTAAGTACCCTTTTCTGGCTAAACATTATATTTTTTACTGAAAAATTCAAAAAGATACGCGAAAAAGCTCATCCCTATGCTACTTTGACCTACTTGTGACCCAATTTGACCTACTTTTTTTGAGATTTCAATACACCTCCTTCGAGAGTTTAAATGACATACAATATGGTATCTTACTCTTTACTGTACCTCTTCAACTTTTGACCCCCCCCTCATCCATTAGTGTTATGAAAAAACGTTGTACATACTGTTTAAGTGGTAATTTTGCCTAATCATTTAATTTGCCTATTGCCTAATTTTTAACAGGCTCGGAAAATTAAATGTCGGATATTTTGTCCTCATAATTTTATCCAATGGGAAGTTTCTTGTCATTAGGAAAATTAAAAACAAGAAATTGAAATATTTGACCATTCGGCAAATTAACCACTCGGATTAAATACCACATACCTGCCAACCTAAGACCAAAATTTTGCGGTAGATTTTTTTTAAATTGCTGTATTTTTGCGGTAGATTTTTTCAAAATACAGTAGTTTTTGCGGTATTTTTCAACAAAATTGCGGTAGTTTTTGCGGTAGATTTATTCAAAATACGGTAGTTTTTGCGGTAGATTTAAAAAATACGGTAGTTTTTGCGGTAGATTTTTAAGATTTTCAGAGGTTTGGGGGAGATTTTTGAAAAAAGTGTAATTTTGCGGTAGAAGTTTGAAAAAAGCGGTAGTTTTGCGGAAGATTTAGAAAAATGCGGTAGTTTTACGGTAGATTTTTAAAAATTCGGTAGTTTTTACGGTAGTTTTATGAAAAACCGGTAGTTTTGCGAAAGATTCTGAAAAAATGCGGTAGTTTTACGGTAGATTTTGAAAAATGCGGTAGTTTTTTGAAAAACCGGTAGTTTTGCGTAAAATTTTGAAAAAATGCGGTAGTTTTAAGGTAGATTTTGAAAATTGTGGTAGTTTTAATGGTAATTTTTTGAAAAACCGGTACCTTTGCGGAAGATTTTGAAAAAATGCGGTAGTTTTACGGTAGATTTTGAAAATTGCAGTAGTTTTTACGGTAATATTTTGAAAAACTGGTTCTTTTGCGGAAGATTTGCCAAAATGCGGTATTTTTCGGTAGATTTTGAAAAATGCGCTAGTTAAACCTTTATACAATGCGGTTTTCTATATTAATACAATGTTTACGTGGTCATATTGTTGTTGTTATTGTGAATACATATTTTACTGCAAGAGTGCTTTTGATAATTGCAGTTTGTAAAGCAGAACTACCACCTGAATTACAAAATATGGATTTTACACGTTTTTACTCACCATCTTAGATGATCTATCACTTAAACGAATTGAAATGACAGACATAATGTTCATATAACATTGGAATCATATGGTATTAAATATTGATTTGTTCACTCGCAAGTCTCTAATGATATCAATGTGTTTGTCTGGCACAAATAGAAAATAAGTACAGATCAAAGTCTTTCAAAAATAATCTTTTATGAGCATTTGCTGAAACCTTTCCCCTGAGACATCGTTCAGATTCGGATATCACAATACTTTTATAATAAACCAGAACTCAATGCTTTATTTTTTAATTATGTATTTGTTACTGATAATGTGTTCTGATGAAAAATACAACATTTTATCGTTCTGTAAACAAATTGATTAAACTATGTATAATGTATATGTGGCGTTCATTACTGATCATAACAAATAAAAAAAACTACGCATATTTCATACGCTAAATATGCATACGCATTTCCACTCATTCATTTAGATGAAGCGCAACTAAAATCATATTTTTGTTGCATTCGGAATAAAGATCTGTGTACAAAAGGGTTTGGTTAACTACAAAAATCATGGCAGAAAGAATTCTTTCTAGCTAGGTGGTAGTTGGTGTTTGGACTGATTACACGCAAGCTTACTTAGATAAATGCGCAATAACCTTATAACCACAGACCTACCGATACCTATTTATATTCGGGTTGGTGAAGGAATATTACAGGGACAGTACAGGAAGACTTCAATTATTCAGCATTTCCCAATAACAATAACGGGAAATGTTACGGTAGTTTGAACAAAAATACTGTTGATTTTAGCAGAAATACGGTAGATTTTCGAAAATTTACGGTAGATTTTCAAAAATTTACGGTAGATTTCAAAAATTTACGGTAGATTTTACGGCCGTTCTCATGGAATAAACGAGTTTTTTAAAAAGAAAATTTACGGTAGATTACGAAAAAAATACGGTAGATTTTTTTACGGGCGTTTTTACGGGGAAAAAAATGGTATTTTTTTACGGTAGTTTGTCATTTTTTACGGAAAAACGAAAAATTTACGGTAGATTCCCGTAAAAATACGGTAGGTTGGCAGGTATGTACCACTTATACAGTATTAGGTTTAACCTCTGTTTTTCACTATAATGTCGAGAGCAAACCAGACCCGTCGTTTTTAAACTCTATATCTAATTACTACTGTTATAGATAGAAGATGATAGAGAACTCATTGAAAGAACGACCAAGTAATATCTTATACAAACCTTGGCGTTTGAAAGTCAAAATGAAGATCTTAGGACCACATTCAAATCATAAAATAAAGTCATGTTTGCTTCAATATTACTCCGAATATTAAGAACATCCTGGTCTATTTTAGTAACATTTAAAGGTCACTCCATGATGACGATAAAAACCGTCTAGTTAAATCAAATCCTTCTTATGATATCAGAAGTCGCCCGATCTGCTAATTACATGACTTTCAGTCGCATCAATGTTGATAAAATTACGAAACTACCAAACGTTCATATGTTCAATTGCCCAAACCTCAGAATACACAATCCTCATACACACTCGCGTTCGTGTGCATGTTCCACAACTGAAGCCAAGGAATACGTTAAAATGTCTGTTTTTTATTAATGACAGTTTACCCGGGCCTCAGTTCTACATCGACAGTCAGACATTGTATAGTGTATACGTGTATACTGAGATACTGTGTTTGTGTATTCGCTCGTTGAAAGTCAAAATGAAGATCTTTAAGGGCCACATTCAAATCATAAAATAAAGTCATGTTAAGATTTATACATATTAGGCCACGGAGAAGGGGTCTTATCACAGATTTTTCCAATATTTTGATTTTTGTTTATCTTAAAAAGCACATATGGACCCTTCATAGGACCCATAGCTAATGTCTTGACGATCTTCCTTGCAGATATAGACCAAAATGACGGATTTGAATTTAGCACATTTTCTTCTAATCCTAACTGGACACATTTTGGGCTCTGTAACACAATTATGTTTTTGTGCTAAGTCCTCTTCGACTTCCAAGGTGTCATTACATGTAGTTACACAAGTTGAAGCCACTGCAACCTTGTGAATCAAGATGGTGTTTAGTGACACGGATTTTAACTGGCACAATAAACATATAAGAGGAAGTACAGCTACACGTATTCAACCTATGATATCAGCTATTTTTAAGAAAATTGTTGTAAATTATAATCTCATGCCGAATAGGCTTGTAAGCGAATCATTAAATCATGAATAGTGCAATATGAAGTAAATATATGAAAAATAGTGCAGTAGTGTAATGTGTCTGACACATAATGCAGTAGTGTAATGTGTCTGACACATAGTGCATTAGTGTAATGTGTCTGACACATAGTGCAGTAGTGTAATGTGTCTGACACTTAATGCAGTAGTGTAATGTGTCTGACACATAGTGCTGTAGTGTAATGTGTCTGACACATAGTGCAGTAATGTAATGTGTCTGACACATAGTGTAGTAGTGTAATGTGTCTGACACATAGTGCAGTAGTGTAATGTGTCTGACAAATAGTGCAGTAGTGTTATGTGTCTGACAAATAGTGCAGTAGTGCAATGTGTCTGACACATAATGCAGTAATGTGTCTGACACATAGTGCAGTAGTGTAATGTGTCTGACACATAGTGCAGTGATGTAATGTGTCAAGCTGACTCCGTCTAAATCTTGAAACCAGTCATAGTTTTCTCCTGATGACCATTGTGAA